CTAATTCGAAAGCTCCGCAAAATTTTATGCAATCTATGATTTTAGATAATACATAACGATTTTTCGTTACCTGTTCATCGTGTTTCCGTATATTATCCCAATATGCAGAATCTAACTGACTTCTTATGTTTATTTTACCTAAAGACTTAATGACTTAAATCTTTCACACTGTATATTGTCCATGCTTTATCCCCACCGAAAAGTAAGCACGGAAAACAAAACAGTGTATTTTTTATATCACACCCGCACACCCGCTCTGCTTTTGTGTATACATTATTGTTAAATTGTCTTTTATAACTTTTATTTCGGCTTATTCCACTAACTTCAATATTTAATTGTGGCGTTGGCCCACCTAATTCTTTTATTTTTAGTTTATCCTCATAAGACAGAGAACCAAATCAAGTTTTTTGTAAAAACGAAACGCTATTCATTTTAATAACTATAATATCCGTAGATGCCTAAACGAAAATATTCACACGTGTCGCTCGCACCACATACCACGTACGAAATATTACTGAATTTACTGCAGCAGTGATTGTCGTTGTTGCAGCCACAAAAGCCCATATAATAGTGTACTGGATTACGTGTCTGATTAGCCAATAGAAACAATGGACGCATCTAACTGTTCGCTGTGCACACATTTTGTATATGAGGTTGCATATATTAAGGAGCGTAGCTCGCGTCGTAATAAATAATAATATAAGCTCCTAGATATTTTATAGATTATTTTAGCGCGAGTACATTTGGATTCTTTAAATATTTTGTTGATATTTAATATGATTAAATATATAAAAATTTTTGTGTTCTGCAGCTCCGCAGCTCTGGTAAAACCGCCCCTGCCTCTGTATGAAAAAATAGTTTTCATGAAGTTACTAAGAAGAATAATTCTTTTAGTGAACAACTCCGCAAAAACGTAGGTATAATATTTTGTTTCATTAAAAATTGTAAACATCTACTGGGAAAACTTCCTTCCAAGTAATATTAATTCTATTCATTTTTTATGTAATTGGTCCTTTCACTAATCTGAAATGAAATAATATACAGGGTGTTCCATTAAAAAAACTTTAAAACGTTTATATCTTATGTTTTCCGATAGATCTCTTACTTTAGGAGATAATGGACTTGTATATGCTTCAGGGTGTTTCTTTACTAATCTATAATGCTCATATTTTCTTCAAAATTAACTAAATCATCATTTTATTATTCATGTACTATCTGATCTCCTGGAAGGTTTGACTTTGACAACAAGACGTTCCTTATGATTGATGGGGTGCCTCCTGAATTTTAATCTAAC